CATTAAATATCCATAAGAAGTTAATATGCCGTTAAACAAACAAATCTAAAAGTTGATTTAATTTCTGACCAATGAAAATGCTTTTAATTTCTGACCAATGAAAATTCTTTTCTTCCTGATTAAGTGTGTGAGCTTTTTTTTTTTTTTTTTTTTTTTTAAACATGAGACTATATACACGCTGGAAAGTTTTGTACATTCTTAATAAAGTTATTTTGCCCCACAAAACTTAAAAAAATATGTTTTAAATTCAAATGTTTCAAATTTCAGTTTCAGCCATACGTGATTTTTTTTAATCATTTCACCCCAAACAAGGCAATAAGACCACTAAGACATAACTCTGAATGTGAAAAAATAAGAAAAAGAAAAAAAGAAGATTATTAAGGAGCGAAAAGAATAAAAAGAGAGGAATCAAGAAGACAGTAGAAGTAATAATTAACATTGAATGATTTTCAGACATTCCTGGCGCTGGGAAATAGTTTCACCTTCTTGCATCATTCTCACAGGAAATTAAAATAACTCTGTTATGGAGCGAAAATGTAATCGGCAATGCTGGAATTAATATCTTTGTTATTTCTTTGTCTTTTTAGCAGTTACTAGTAAATAATCATATTTTAGAATTATTAATATAATTTTCGTTATGTATTTATTCCCATCAACATAGTGGCAGACACAGAAATCCTAGACAAGGTAGTAAAGAAGAGCAAGAAGAAAGGACCAACCGCCAATGGCAAGCAACCATAATGTATGGTCATTAGCAAGAGCGGCAGTCAAGATGCAAGTTGATTGAATTGGAGACGTTTGAATCATATTAAAAAACAGGAAATTTTCGATAGAAACAATGAAAAGGTCGCTGAACTGGTATGTAATAGCAATCCCTGTATATGATATTGAATATTGGACAATTTCATTACGGATGAAAAGGAGACGAGGCAACAAAGATGTAGATTCATGCTGATAATATCATGAACAGTACCCGTAAGCAACAAGGAAGTTTTAAGGAAAATGAAAGTAAAAAGACATGTCTAGAACACATAATGAGGAAAGATGGTTGGAAAATTTGACACCCACAGGACATATTGAAGGCAAGAGGAGCAGAGAGAAACATCGAGTAACCTAACTAAAGAACTGGTGAAAATGGGAGCGATAGCAAAGGGACAAACATTACTTAGTACTACGAAAGATAGGAAGTTGTAGAGAGCCATGATCGCTCAAGTAGTCCTGAAAAAACATAAAAGGAAAATGTTCTATTGTAATATTCTAAAAAAAGACCATAAAATCAGGAACCCAGGAATAAATTTACATCGGAACAGATGAGCAACAATCGCGTTTGAAGGAAAATAAAAACAAAAGAACACGTTTGTTAGAATCAGAAAGAAACTGAGGAAAAGGGGCTTGAGGAGTTTGATACTCACGGAACTTGCTGAACTCATAGGTAAACATCGACTAACCTACCTAACGAACTTGTGTAAATGAATAACAGAACAGGGAGTAGGAGGGATAGAAAGGGAAGAAAAATGGCGTAAAGATACAAATGATAGGAAGTTGTGGACAGCCGTGATCGCTCACGTCTTCTATGGATAGAACACATAAATAAAATCTGTTCACGGGTCTATCAGGGAAAATACTTTCTTCCCTTATATACATTTACAATATGCTCTCTCTCTATCTTTATGACTATCTCAGTCTGTTCATATCTATCTATCTATCTATCTATCTATCTATCTATCTATCTATCTATCTATCTATCTATCTTAGTCTGTTCATATCTATGTCTGTTCATATCTATCTATCTATCTATCTATCTATCTATCTATCTATCTATCTATCTATCTATCTATCTTAGTCTGTTCATATCTATGTCTGTTCATATCTATGTCTGTTCATATCTATCTATCTATCTATCTATCTATCTATCTATCTATCTATCTATCTATCTATCTATCAGAAATTTCTAAGGAATCCAACGAAATCTCTATCCGGCATTATTTCCTACTACGACAAAAGACCCATGTATTTTAAACCGGCCTGCACATTCAAGAAACTTCATAAAGAAAAAGCACTCTCTAGCAGGGTTTGATCTCAACGAGAGCGCGTGGATTCTTCAAAAAATGTAATTGAATATTGTATAGTGTATACTAGTGCATTTAAAACAACATGCCTGATATATCCTTTTTCAAAACACAACAATACTTAAACATGAAAACAATAAACAAAAACTAAAAATTCTTGAAGCTATATACATAAAACAATTGAAACCTAACCTGAACAAAATAAACTACGAAATCTCCACAAATATCTCTTAAATGCCTATAATTGACAACAGCAGCCATTGATTTATGCCAACGGCTTCCTATACTTAATACTTCTCGTTTTCACTCTCGCGTGGTCATATGTGACGTCACGAGCTGCGACGCAATTTTCGCTTCTACGTCTCGTATACACGAGTTAGTCGTTGCTTTGAAATTTTTCTTGCAACAAAAACAGACTATCATTATTGTTTCGTCCGTGTATTGTTTGATATATTGAAAAGTAATTGTCATCTTTGATAATGGCTTATGTAAGCCGAAAGCTTAGATTGGATTTAAGCATGTATCAATATGGTGATTTCCTTTCGTCCTTCAATGATAATGTTATTAAGCTTATCAGACAATATGAAAGGAACTTACTTAAAATAAATAGACAAAACTTGTCTATATTATTTAATGAAACATGCATCAATATATATATATATATATATATATAATCTCTTGTCGTATGTTCTACGAATAGACCGACAGCATCTTCTCCAAAGAAGTAACCTACCCCGTTGCTAGCCAAATATACCAGGGCATCGTATGGATACTTGCAGAGGCCAACATAAAACCTAATGTTTACTTTTTTGAGTCTTTGAACTCTAGTATAAAACCGAATATTATATATGTCTACCATTTTGATTGTTGGGTTAAAATTGTCCCTTTTCTATCTTTATGGCACTAATGTAAAACGCAACATATATCTACCTTTGTATTAATAAGTTGTGATTTGTTCTATAAAAATTTTATTTCTCATTAACTATCCCAACAAGGAGAATTGTTATGTGACTATGCCAACTTAACTCTATCTATCTATCTATCTATCTATCTATCTATCTATCTATCTATCTATCTATCTATCTATCTATCTGTGAGTGTGAGCGTATATGTACGTGTGTGTGCGTGTGTGTGATTTTAATATACGAGGAGATTAATTTTGCACGGCAAACATGCGCAGTTTTACAGTTTTACAGTGGCAATCAATACAATAATGACAAACATAATAGACACCAATACGCGTTGAGATTTAATGATTTCAAAAGAATGAGCTTAAAGTAAATTGCAGAGACTTCATTAATAAATATAATACCGTTATATAGAAAGAGACGGTGTCGACATAGGAATCAACGTTGCATGAGGAATGCCAGTTTCACATTCCAATCCGATCTTCAGAATAAGAAAATATATATATATATATATATATATATATATATATATATAATTGTTATTTTAAGCTAATTTAGAGAAACTGTTGTTTGCTGTTTTTATTTGACACTAATTTACAAAGACTATGAATTATAGTTTTTATTAAGCTTTTATTTACAAAAATAGTCTCAATTAATTTTATTATACACTAATTTAAAAATACTAGTATCTACTGTTTTTAATTTACAAATACTAATGTTTACTGTTTTTATTTTACCCTAATTTAAAAATACTAATGTCTACTATTTTTATTTTACACTAATTTAAAAATACTAGTGTCCAATATTTTTATTTTATACTAATTTAAAATTGCTAGTGTCTACTATTTTTATTTTACACTTATTTAGAATACGAGCGTTAACTATTTTTATTTTATACTTCTTTAAAAATAGTAATATCTACTATTTTTTATTTTACACTAATTTAAAAATACTACTGTCTACTATTTGTATTTACACTAATTTACAAATATTGATGTTTACTATTTTTATTTTAAACTTATTTAAAAATACTAGTTTCTATAATTTTCTCTAACTTATATTCGCTAGTTTATATTGTTTTTTTAAACATTTATTTGCAAAAACGATTTGTGAATAAAACAAATTTGTGAATACAACAACAAAGATGATGACATTTTCGTTGTTGCATTCAGAACATTTTGCCTGATTTTACTCTGCAACACTGTATGAAATAAAGGTTAACGTATTTAAGATTGTAATTCTGTGTGAAATAAACTTTAAACTTTGCATGAATGTCAACACTAAAAAGGAAATAATTTGAAAATTTAAATCGAATACAGGAGCTTATTTTCAATTCCTACTCAGTCGTGAAAGTTTATTATGCATAACTAGTATAAGCCTTTTGCATTTCCAGCAGTGGAATACAATAATTATATAACTTAAATAAAGTTACCATAAAATATATACATTAGGGGCTTCGGTACAAATATACACATTTATTATAACTTGTGAAAATTTTACCTGCTACCTTTTTTTGATAACTAGAAAACGTTGACTTAGTTTGGCGCAAGGCAAAATATAAAGATCTAATACAGTATTAATGATCTGGACCAGCTTGTTATCAATACACCACATCTAGACACGCTAGTTCTTTTTATTAATCGTAGCTAAGTCTGACACAAGGCTGCAGTTGTTTGGTCTGCATACCGTAAGTTTCAAACTCACCACATTAGCGAACTGACAGCAGGTCTAGCTTGCTAGACGGGTCGAGAAGCGTTCGTTTCTTTTTTCATAAAATCGAGTTTAGTGTGGTACAAAGGCATGTTCTTCGACAATGGGTTCTTAGTTTTTAGTTGTAACTTGACGATTTTTTTTGTCAATCTAAGAGGTTTTCTAATGCACAAGGTGTGTGATTAAGATGCGTGCTGACTGGCTGCTTGTATGACTTCCAAGCTCTATGATGATTGTCTACGGTGACAATACACGGTGCCAGGTGCGTTAAAGTCATAAGAGCGGCCTGTGTACAGCGGACAGCAAGCTTTAGATTTTGGCGCAGTCGGCCGGAAAAAAAGAGAGCAAAAAAATGAAGCGTCGAGTAGAGTTCTTGGCCGATGGAAACGGTAAACTTACTTGTTAATCATGGAGGCGTAATCACCGAAACGTAAAACCCCTCACCGCCAGTACAGGTGTCAGATGAAAGACACCGCTGCCCTTGGCGAAAAAAACAAACAAAACAAAAAACGAAAAAAAACAAAAAAAAAAACAGCAGCAGTAGGCTAGCATAAGCCCTACCCTTTGCAAAAGAAGAAGGAGGAAAAAAATGTTTAGCCCTTCACTCTCCATGAGATAGTTTTATCCCTACTGTTAAACGGTGCCGGCAAAAGACCCCTTATTTCACTGCTGTCACTCTTACCCGCCTCCGTAAGGAGGAGGCAGACGAGGTGGTGGTGGTGGTGGTGGTGGTGGTGGTGGTGGTGGTGGTGGAAGTGGTGGTCGTCGTGGTCGGGGAAGAGAAAGTTGAGAGAGATGTCCCCTTGATTCCTTAGCAAAAAAACACCATTGCATTAGAATTACATACCCACTGCACAGGCCAGCACGCCAGCTGAATCTCTCTCTCTCTCACTCTCTCTCTCTCTCTCTCTCTCTCTCACACACACACACTCTCTCTCTCACACACACTCTCTCTCTCACACACACACACACACACAGATTTATTTTCTTGTGAACAGGTATCTATCTAACAGGGTTAAAATTAAAAGTTCTGAAAGTGACATCGAAATCAGAATCACGTATCTATAGATTATATTATATTGTAATGATGTGCTGAGAATACCAGGGACAGAGATCGAAACTAAAAGGACGCTTATACTGAGAATCAGAAAAAGAGGAGAAATTTCTAGGACACATATTGAGGAAAGAAAGCTTGGAAAATTTGACACTCTCAGGATACATCGAAAACAAAAAGGACAGGGGAAGCAGCGAGTAATCTACCTAACGATCTCGTGTAAGTGGGTGGCAGAAATGTGAGTGGGAAGTATAATAAAAAACAGGATAGGAAGTTGTGGAGAGCTATGATAAACCACAAGCCGAAGAGACACAGCACAAAGAAGAAGAAGAAGAAGAAGAAGAAGAAGATGATTATGGATTGATATGTTTTAATTCAACGTTGGATTTTTTAAAATCATTTCATTCCAAGCAAGGCAATAAAGCCACTAAGACACAAGGGGTTAGTGAGTGTAAAATTATAAGAAAAAGGTAAATATGAGATGAAGAAATAAAAGAAGCGGTATCAAGAAGACAGTAGATAACGATTAATATTGCATTTGAATTTTTGAAGATCAATGCTAATAGAGTCTACTCTCGCACTTCTCGCTTGTGGAACTATCTTGTGCCTTCTTGCTTCTCAGTCTACTCTGGATCTTCAAATATTTTAAATGCAATGTCAATCTTTATCTTCTGTCTCCTGAATCCCTGATCATTTATTGCCCTTTATCTCATTAATGATGTTTTTTTCTCATATTCTTTCATACCCAGTAACCACCTTGTGTCTTAGTGCCTTTATCGCCTAGCTAGGGGTGAAATGATTAAAAAGAATCGACTGTGGATAAGGGTTGCTGAATGGATCATCCAAAAGTCAACTTTGGAATCCATCATCCAAAAGGCAACTTTGGAATCCATCATCCAAAAGGCAACTTTCGAATCCATCATCCAAAAGGCTACTTTTGAATCCATCATCCAAAAGACAACTTTCGAATCCATCATACAAAAGGCTACTTTTGAATCCATCATCCAAAAGTCAACTTTTGAATCCATCATCCAAAAGGCAACTTTCGAATCCATCATCCAAAAGGCAACTTTCGAATCCATCATACAAAAGTCAACTTTTGAATCCATCATCCAAAAGGCAACTTTCGAATCCATCATACAAAAGTCAACTTTTGAATCCATCTGTCAAGGCTGAACATTGAGGACTAGGCAACCCCTGCTCTAATATAGCAGAAAGTCGCCATTCTTGTTCTGAACTGTCTTTTATAAGGACGGAACATGGCAACGGGAGATCGGTATTTTCTAGACTGATACAATGGATCGACCATTCTCTCAGCATCTTTTGCGATGGCAAGAATATACGTGTTTCATTTGAGGTCAATGTGGTTTATTTAGGGGTCGATTCATTGATATTTTTACGTGCTATCAACCTTTTGCAGGTTATTTAAAAGCAGAAAATATTTTAGACTGTAAGATATTTTTGGTGATAATAATGATTTACTGATACAAGCCCTATGAATAAATGTAAGCTAGGAGGAGGAGAAGTGGTGGATTCATGCATTTCGCAAGCTTATTTACTCGTAAGTGAATTTTAACGAACCCAACCGGAATTGGAACTCGATTCTCTGATTTCCAATTTCGAGTCGTTATTCATTACACAAGCGACACATTTAAAATTAAAGCACCCTGTATTCCCAAGCGATCACCCATCTTGGTACGATGTTGCTTAACTTCGGTGATTATACGAGACCCGGTGTTTCAACGTAATATGGCCGTAAGCCTATTTAAGAATGCTTACAACCACCTGAATGAGCAACTGGAGCTGAAGATTATTAGTGAGGAACGAGCTAAGATTGCAAAAGAGAAGGACAATTCAATCAACTCTTTCTCTCACACATAGCAAAGGTGGATAAAGTGTGATTTGAGACTAGGTGTTTATGCGACTGGAAGAGAAAAAGAAGTCGAAAAAAGGCGCTAAAAAGTTTCCTATGAAAAAAGGCGCTAAAAAATTTCCTATCAAATTGACAGCGTTTCTTTTCGGATCTTACTTGATCTCTTTTTACGGCTCCTCCCTGAAAGTATCATGAATCTCTCTTGTGTACCCCACACAGAAGCATTTACTCCCCATTCCTTTAATTGTTACTTCTCCCCCATTCTTTAACCGAAGCCCCATCCCAGTTTTCTCCAGACCCTCACAGTTTTTGAATCTTCATTTTTCAAAGTTTTCTTTCTTTCATTCTTTTACAATTTTAAATTCAAATCCCACCCCCACAAGCGGATCTCTGTCTCTTTGTCTTCAGTGATATCGCCAGTTGTCTGTCTTTTCTTTCCCAACCCACGACTTGCAACTTTATCAGCCCAAGTCTACTGGCTTCATATTTCGACCTCATAGAACGAATGTTCTGCTTTTCAGCATTTATATCCATACAACTAATTTGCTTTTATCCCCACTTATTTGAGAGAGAGAGAGAGAGAGAGAGAGAGAGAGAGAGAGAGAGAGAGAGAGTATGTATGTGACACTGAAATGGGGGTGTATGTGTAAGAGAGTGTAATGTGTGTGTGTGTGTGTGCGTATCAGTATAAACCAACGTTTTCGATAAGTTTAAGGAAGAAGAAATTTGTTATAAAAAGCATTAACGGACCCTTACGGCGCCTTCATGTGGTGTAATGGTTAACAAGCTTGTCTCGCTAGAACAATTACAGCTGTGTAACGAGTTCGATCCTCAGTCGGTATCCCATAGTTTCGGCCCTGTGCCATGTCTAAGCTACGCTTAGAAATTCTCCATTTACGAATAATAAACTAAATTTAACTGTCTTGAAATTTCGTTTTTGCTTAAACGTATGTATTGAAGATATAGAAATATTTTAAGGCTACTGATTGTGTGTGTGTGTATATATATATATATATGTGTGTGTGTGTGTGTGTGTGTGTATGTATATATATAAATATGTTTTATATATATGTATGTATGCTATATATATATATATATATAAGATCAATCACTGAAGTGAGAAATATTATTTTTTATAAATCCTAACCATAAAAATAAATGTATTCCTTTCATATATACATGTATTTTTATGGCTACTGATTGTATATATATATATCAGTTTAAGACATTTTTTATGTTTATACATTCTTTTTATAGAAACAAATATTTAAGTAATTGCTCTGTTTATAATAAACAGTATTAACAACTTTTACCGGTCTGAATATCCGAGAAATTTTCATATAAATTATGCCGACAGGAATCGTACCCATATCCTATACGTAACCGTCATATAGCCTGACGTGCCTTTCCGATTTAGCCACAGAGGATCGTTGTGGTAGTTAATGTCTTAAAATAATTGTCGGATTTTGTCCATTTCATAATGTGTGACGTCATATATATATATATATATATATATATATATATATATATATATATATATATATATATATATAGGGAGAGGATTTATAAAGGTAAAATTTCGCACTGAATTGATTGATCTTATATATATATGAATATAAACCATATGTTTAAACATATATATATATATATATATATATATATATATATATATGAATATAACATCATTTGTCTAATCTATCTATATATATATATATACAGTGCTGTTCGATAAAAAGTGATTCACCTGATTTTTTTTTTACTAAAATATTTTTTGTCTATTGCTTTTGGGGTTAAAATAATTTTTAATCTTACTAATATAAAGGCCCCTTCCCGACCACCTAGGAAAAAAGTTTATTCACCCTAAGGTATTCTATTGATAATTATAAATTTGGATATAAAAGAGATTCAGGAAAAAACTCTGTGTAAAATAAGTGACTCAGATATCGCATTCTAATGATTAAACTGGTAAATTTAAAGAGCTTTTGACAATATATTGAAAACTATTTTACAATACATTCAGAACAATATGGTAGAGAATTCTAGAACAGCTTAAATTAAATCTAGAGTATTCCAGAATATTCCAGAAAGCCTCATACAGTATAAAAACAGCTTGAAATAGCTACTCAAGTTACTAACCAGATGAAAGGGTACAAACACTCATCAGAACCACTTAAGGCATCTATTATTGCCCTCTCAAAAGCAGGCAAGTCTACGAGAGAAATTGCAGAAATTGCTATAACCTCGCAATCAACTGTCTCGAGTGCTTAGGGCACAAAATGATGCCACTCCTGCTCCAAGGAAGGAAACAAGGGGACGAAAGAAAAAGATTGATGATAGAACTGGCAGGGTAATCAAGAGAGAAGTTGCAAAGAATAGGACCATAACTAGCCAAGTCTAAGTGAAGAGCAAGGTGTTAGTCTTGCCTCTTCAACAGTCCATCGGTGGCTGTTAGAACAAGGCTACAAATCTTGTACACGAAGGTTTAAGCCGCTAATAAGCAAAGCCAACAAAGCCAAGAGACTTGAATGGGCTCACTATTACAAAAAATTCACTGTAGAAGACTGGAAAAATGTTCTCTTCTCTGATGAAACGAAACTTGAGCTAAATGCAAAGGATAAGACGAGTCACTTTTTATCAAATAGCGCTATATATATATATATATATATATATATATATATATATATATATATATATATTCAAACAGATTTCGTTAAATAATTATGTTCTGTATACTGTATAAGATCCTTTCATATTCGCGAATAAGCTTTTTTGTGCGGTTGTTAAAAGACGGGAGGAAAACACCGTGTTGGCCCATATTGTATTTATCCGAGTACTTTCGACATAGCATAATGTCATCATCAGGTTATTGTTAAATATAGAGTAAGTCATGACCACGAATACTTGTAGGTCGACATTGTCGTAAACTGGGGACTCCTTGAATTCACTACTCAACTGTTGAACTTCCGAAGGAAACGCAACATGAGTGATACTTCTTTTTAAACAGACCATCGCTTCCTGCAGTATCACCTACCACATGTATGTAGCATTCTTGCCTCAACAAGATTTACCAGGTAATTGCCTCCACTGAACTGAACTGTGGATGCGAGGAGTCGACTCTGCAAACTGGACGGTTCCTTCGGTCACTTGCCGCGAAAATTCTGTTTCCGTGCGGGCCTCCGCTATTTACTGACAGTCCTTCGAAGGACATGCTGTCCACTGGAGAAACCTCATTCTCGTTCGTATGATAAAAACAAGCTAATAAATATTAAAAAAATCAATACACACAGTATTCTAAATAATTCGAAAAATCTCGATTTCATTGATTCAGATATTGCAATTCTGTGTAAACGTTAACTGTTTTTAGGTTAATATTTTTTTTTAAATATTTAAATCGTCAAATACAAAAATACTTATATTTTATTCAAACTTTTCAGTTATTTGTTAATCATGTCTCCTATATATACTAATATTTTAATTATATTTCATCACTAAAAACAACATAGCCTAGATTATAATTGCGAATAACAGGTTTTAAACATTAACGAAAAGAATATTAATTTCAACAAAATACCCAGTTTCTGGAACAATTAACCTAAAAATGAAAAGATGATAATAATGAGAGAAAAAATATTTGAAAATTGTCGGAATATCTACGCGCAGTAGACGACATAATTTACCGGTAAACATATTACGTTGTGCGTTGCCTTGTAAAAAAGGAAACAAACAAAAAAATTGGAAAGATAACAATGAACCTGAAAAAGACGTAGACAGTCAGTGGTATTAAGAAGACGATATTATTTGAAAACAGTTGTCAATAATGGGACAAAAAGTCTGCAAATATGACTGGTAACATAATGGAGTCTTTGGAATAATAACTAACATCAAGTATCTTTTACATTCCAGTAGAAATAAAGAAAGGAAAGTGAAAGGATATGGAAGAATAAACCTGTGTGGTGATGTTTTATTTTTTTAACGTGTGCGACGCGAGATTGTTGGTGACTTGCAGACGAGAGGCGCGACAGGTAAGTGCAGAGAACGTCGATAAAATGTACAAAGATTATTATTATTATTATTATTATGAAACATCAAATGAATTGAAATATGGCAGATGAGTGAACAAAGAGAAATAAAACAGGAACAATCAGACTAGAAAAAAAAAAGAAAAATGGGAGGAGGAAGAGAAGAGAAAAAAGGAAGAAAAAGAAGAGGGAGGAGAATAAAATAAAAAGAAAGGAAGAAGAGGATGAAAAAAGAAGAGAGGAAAAAAAGGAAAAAGAAGACGCGCCTTTTTTCGACTTCTTTTTCTCTTCCAGACGATACGAAGAAGAACAAGATATTAAGATCAGAAAAGAAAGAAAGAAGAAGAAGAGCAGAAAGATGATGAGAAGAAGAAGAAGAAGAAGAAGAAGAAGAGCGAGAAGAAAGGGAGAAGAAGGGAAGGAGAAAAAGGAAAAATAAAGAATAAAAAGAGAAGAAAACAGAAAGAAGATAAAAAGAAGAAGAAAAGGGAGAATATAAAAAAAAAGAAACCTTCAAGTAAACAAATAAAGGTATGTTGTTGTTTATTGTTGTTGTTATTTGTTGTTGTTTGTTGTCAATTTAACTAATCTCTCTTTCCACACACGAATGGACAAAACACCAGAAACGAAACAGGAACTAGCACGAGAAAGAAAAGAAAGAAAGAAAGAAAGAAAGAAAAGAAAAGAAAAGAAAAGAAAAGAAAAGAAAAGAAAAGAAAAGAAAAGCACAACTGAACAAAATGATAATTCTTTTATTCCGTTGTAATTTAGAAAAGCCGACCAGGATTGATCGACCTCCACCCACACAGCCGATCACTGTTGAGCGATAAGCAAAAAAAAAAAAAAAAAAAAAAATTAAGAGGATAA